CGATCACGGTCTCTCGAGTCTTTGGCGGCTGTGTAAGCACTGCCAGTTTGCTCTGCTGGTATTGGAAGGCGCTGGTCATGTCGGGCTCCGGGCTCATCTCTCGTTCAGGAGAAAGACGGTCTTCCTGAGGCGAGTCGAGGAATCTCCTTCCCGGGGCAGCCCAGACAGACTCGGGAACCTTTGTCGACTTTGGAGCCTCAACGTCGACTGGAGTGGGCTTTGAATAGATGTCGTTGTCTGGAGCTTGGTCTGGAGTAGCAGCAGGCTGGGTTGAGACTGGAGCTTGCGAAGGCTTCAAGGATTCCTCGTGTTGACGCAATATCGCCTTGTTTTGCTCACGGGCACGGAAGAATTCAGGCTTGCCACTCTTCTGTCCAAGGACATCGACGGACGGCCCGTCATTTTGGGACAACCATGGGTTCTTCTCCTCCATGCTGGGATATTTCCAATCATCCCCTCTTGGTCCATGGGCTGGCTGCTGTCCATGAGCTGCTAGCCAAGGCCGATGGGAGGCAAGGACATCCAGAGGTTGCGTTGAAAGCAGCGGGGTAAGAGGTCTGCCATCGGACAGAGGCGTCGCCTGGTTAAGCAGAGGCGGAAGCTTGAAATCATTCCCAAATTGGTCTTCGGATGAACCTGGGAAAGGCCATGGCATAGCAGCAGGACACATAATGTGCTGAAGGGGTAACGTTTGGTTGGTTGACGCAGTAGCAGTAGCCGGCTCACAGATGGTCATGGATGTGTCATTGGCCAGTTTGTTGCGAGGAGGCTCATCCCAGACGTACTCATCATCATCTTGTGGGTCGTTCTCTCCGTCGCTACTCTCTGCATCCGAATTACGGACGTCGTGATCGTAGTCGGCGTAGCATTCGGCGTCATCGTCAAGTTCACTGTCTTGCTCATCGTCCTCTTGATCACCATCGCAGTTGGCATCGCAGTTAGTGTCTGCCTCGGCATCTTGCTCGTCGATGACGTCGCCGTTGTCAGAGCCGCTCAGGGAGTCACTGAGGCAGATATCCTCTTCGTCGGAGGTTTCATCAGAAGATTGACCCTCGCTCGAGACACCCTTGTCTGACAAGTCCATCGAGTCTCCCTCTTCGTAAGAATCATCTAAATCAGAATCAGAGTCGTCAAAGGTAGGGATCGGGTCAACGAGCGCAGAATGTTGCGCAGAAGAGGGGTCCTCCTCCTCATCATCGTCATGGGGGGCGTCAAAGTCCACAGTAGCAGGTGGAGCAGGGGGAGCAGGCTGGGAGGAGCGAGGAATGACAGCAGGAGCCTCGAAGACGTGATTCGGAGCATTGTCGTCATCAAGGACGATGGCGGCGGCGGCGGATTGTCCTGCTGTGGAGGCAGGGACAGGGGCGTCATCCGTGAGGTCGATAGCAGTGGCTGCTGCGCCCGGGAGGCGATGCTGCGCAATCAAGCGAATCTTCTCCATTGTCGCTCTGATATCATCGTCGTCGTCATTGTCGCTGCTGTCAGAGTCATCAGGGACAGAGTATGTGTAGGTAGGCCGGGCGTTCGCGTGTTCAGTGTCAGAGGGAGGATCCCACTGGAAGTGCACCTGAACGGTGCAAGGCGGGAATGACTCGCTTGATCGTTGAATGTCGACGCCAAACTTAAGAGTGTCTCCTGGAAGCAACTCGTACGCCTCACCAGCGTTAATTCTCACGGAGTTTCTGTGGGTTCCGTGGAGGGAAGTCGAGTCCTTGATATAAAGTTTCTATGTTCGGGTTAGACCTTGGTTCACCACTTTGTACGTTTGGGTTTGACCCTACCTTGTGGTACCAATCAGGATACAATTCGGCATGCTCGCGGCTCATGACCGGGCTGTCGAACAAGGCGTTGGTGTTCTTGGGTTCGAGGGCGGGTAGCCGCTTGCTGGATCTGCCAATCTTGATCTTCTTAGAGGCGGAGTCGTCGCTCTTAGATTCCAAAACGATTCTGCGCTCGGGATACTGGAAGTCTGGAGGAGGGTACTGGGCCGAGAGCGTGACAAGCACTGGAATATCGGTTAACCACAAGCTGTACGTTGGGAGAAGAGAGGAAAATGCTGTAGGCAGACATACCACTACTCGCCAGCTGTCGATGGCCAGATGCCATTATGAATAGGCTGGACCCAAAGTTGGTCGACTAAAAAGTGTGCAGAGCGACAGACGCAAGGACCTTGGTGTTCTCGAGGAAGGGTCAGAATCGACGTGCGTTTGTCGTGTCTCGGGAGACGTTACCTCCGTCCGAAAGTGTCGGAGCTGACAGAGCGTACGTGAAGACGAGACGATCCCGTCTGGAGCACGGAGACGATGGACGGAAGTGAATCCTCGCGGACCAAAAATAAGATGTGAGGTTGAGAAGAAGAAGGAGGACGAGAAGGAGGTCGGGTGGGCGTAGAAGAGAGCCTTGGTTTCGCCGATGGCGCAGGCTGAAGGTTCGGAAGGTGGAAGTCAGGCAGAGAGGTAGGAGCGATACAGTGTAAGTAGGGAGCAGTCGAGGCCGGCAGAGGTGAGGTGGGGCAGGAAGCAGCGGGATCTGGAAGTAGCACCGTGCTGGTACTGTATCAGGCAGTCGCAGGCAACGATAACGCCTTATCAGACCTCAGGAAGGTGCGCCTCGAGGGAAGCTTGCAGGGGTGTTGGCGTCGTGGTAGCGGGGGGATGGTGGGTTAGTGGGGTTATCAGCAGCGGTGACGTTCAGACACTTTAGATAAGTGCTGGGTCGAGTTGGCTGATAAGACGACTGTGGAAGTCGCCGACGACGCGATATGCCTCGGGAAAGATGGAAAGAGGAATATCGGTAGAGAAGAAGAAGATTGAAATAAGCGCTCCCTTCCTCTCCCGACAGATAGAGAATAATATCGTACGCTCCTCGCCTGTGAAGCTGGAGCCAAAGAGGTGAAAGTGCACTTCACACAGTTACCTTGATTGGCCCGTGCTCTCCACCAGGCTGCACAGTGCGTGTCTGGGCGTCAGGCAGGCTCAGTCGGGGTGGTTTGGAATGTGATGACGGGATTAGGAAAGAGGGGCACAATTTGCTGCACCTTCAACCCATATGGCACCTGATGGTAGGCAGGTTTGCTTTCGCCAGGAGGCGGGCAGGTAGGTCGAGGTACAGTAGGTAGACGGAAGAAAGTTTGAGGCAGAAGAAGTTGTTTGCTAAGGCGGCCAGAGAGGTGAGGTTAGTGGCTAAAGAGGCAAGTGCTAGTCCTAGACACAAAGTGCGTGTTCGAGGTGTAGCGGGGCCATTGATGGGTACCTCGAGATAGGTAGAGGCGAATGAGACGGAAAGACAACTTGAGGATACCCGAGAAGGTACGACTGCGACGACGCTGTCGTATTCAATGAGTTAACGGCCGAATCAAAGGTCGAATTTTCTAGACGTCCTCAGCTCTGTGGGCAAGCCTAACGTGAATGCTCTCGGTTCGCCTTTTGATCACAGGCAAGGCGGACCATTATCGCAGTCGCCAGAGCGCCCCAGTCAAGCCAGCATCGCAAAGGCTGGCTGGAAAGGCAACCGACACCTCACAAATCGCATACAGCCTGCCTGACGACCTGCCCGTGTCCACGTCGTCCGGCTTCATTCGCGCAACTGCGCGTACATCTATTTAGCTCGCGGCTGGTTCGGCCTCAAATCCTAACCTTGGCTCGAGCCCCTACTTTGGTCCTCCCTTGTTGGTGGTCCGCCTTCACGTCAAGAAAGCACATATCCGCCCTTACCTGCGGGCGAGACCCTTACTGCCTGCCTTACCGTGTGCCTGAGGTGCTGTTTCTTTCAATTCTAACTGCATGACACTGCCGATGCTGATGGTCCGTACCTAATAGATATGTCAACTTCTAGTCATGTCTGACCGCCTTGCGAAACCAAGACAGATCATCAGCTGGCAATCCCACGAACTGCATCCCACCGACGACCGTGGCAGAGTTGAGTAGTTGCACCTCGAGGTGAGTTGCGGATCTGGTGAATCCGGTGGTGTGTCTGAGAAACAACCAGACCCGTTGTATTACTGGCGCCGGCCGCGACTGCCTGAGCTAGACCCGAAGCTGCCACGATCAGATGATGCAGATTTACCTGTTTCCCATCATCGGCGGGAAGCACGGTGTGATGGGTGGCATCATGTACCTCGGTGCCGGTCACCTCGGAAGGGAAAGGTCCCTGAGGTACCCCTCTCTCGCATGCGGTTAGCAGACTCACCAGTGACACACAGATGTTGGAGGACTCACAGGGCCCAGCGCGCAGCCATGGATGGATGGAATGGAATGACGGCGGGGGGAGGGCGATCTACGAGCAGGGATCACTGCCCACCTCAAGGTGAGCCCTGGGTGGTGTGTGCGAGCGGACGGACCCAACCCCACCCAATACATCACTCTGGAGTCCTGCCTTCGGGACCTGTGGAGCGACAAGCAGCTGCTGGGCAGCATTTTGCAGAAGCTGACGTCCTGTTCCCCTCGCCCCCTACCCCTCCAAGGTCGTCCATGGTGCTTTGTTCCTTACCTCGACCTTGCGCACCTGCGTGTCTCGCCCTACACGCCATTAAAAAAGTCTCGGTCGTCATTCGTCATAAGCCCACCCGCCGCTGGGCCTGGGCGTTGCACCCAGATCCATGATCAAAATCCTCCAAGTGAATGAGTGCCACCCAAACACCCTTTTTCTTAATATTCATCCGCCTACCACCCACCACCACCTCTCTGTACTGTACCCTCCACAACTTTTGTTTTCTCCGTTGCCCTAATTTAAATCCCCAAACTCCTACCTCCGATACTTTGCGATTACTGGTATAATAACGACATTCCCACAACCTCTCATGGATTGTTGATCGCAAATCTACGAAAGCTCTCACACACGGCATCGTCTCCAAGCAGTCTCGATTCACGTACAAGAACAAAAGAACCTAGTTCGCAGTCACTCGGCACTTATAAAACTCTAGGTCTTCTCTTCGAGAAGTACCGCGCACATTCAACTACCTCTACATCTCAGCTTGCAACCGACCCCCCGAAGTCGCAAATATGCACGATCTTAGACTCAAGGTTCTCCGCGAGAGCGGCAAGACTGTCTCCAAAAAAGCGCGATCGCGCCCCGAATCTGCCAGGGCGTCCATGAGAAATTCTCCCAACATCTCTCCCTCCCACTCACAAATCAACTCTCCCGCGCACTCACGCGCCGGCAGCCGCTATGCCTCCGAGGACGAAGCGAGCGACGACGAGTACGACGACAACATGACCATGAGCACACTGTCCAACGGAACCGACTCCGGCGACGAGGGTATTGGCGGCCCATCTGACGCCTCATGGGCGACCCTTCTGCAAGATCGCATCGTCGAGTTGCAAGATCGTAAGCGAACAAATACCAAGGGTCGCGAGACCACTCTCATGTCATACCTTCACCTCGTCAAGCACCACTACGGCGGACGCCAAATCAGCGGCTCAATAAACGAGATCGTTTCGGCTCTCATGAAGAATATCAGGTCCGGAGGCAGCACCGTGGAGCGCATCTACTCTCTGAAGTCACTTCAGGCAACGCTGTTGACGTCACCCTCAGAAGTGCTGTTTGACGACATTTACCCACAACTGGAGAAGACATGCGAAGACGATGAAGACAGCGATGTCAAGGCGGCCGCGATCTGGGCTATGGCTATCGCAACGCTTTACGCCGGCGGAAGCGAAGAGGCCGCGAGCGAGTTCCTCGAGTACATTGTCACCATCGTAGAGAGCGATGGCGAATCCATCAGTGCGGCCGACAGCGGCGAAGTGGTTACCGCGGCGTTGGAATCCTGGGTCTTCGTCGCCAGCCAAATCGACGACATCACCGAGAACGTATACACAGCCATCGACGCCTTTGTGGAACAACTCGACAGCACAGACGTCGACGTACAAACAAGCGCCGGTTTCAACATCGCCTTTATTTTCGAGGCCGCACGGGACCTGGAAGAGGAGACGGGCGAGCCAATGAACCTACAGTACGATCCTAAGCGATTGATTAGCCGCATGCGCGAAGCATCAAAGCCCTCAGTGAAGCAGACCTCCCGCAAGGACAGACGTCACCTGCGCAAACAGTTCGCCAGCATTGTTACTTCACTAGAGCACGGCAAGGGCCCCGGATTCTCGACCGCCGGTCGCCCCTCATTCAACCCGCACACCGGAGGCACGAGGGCAGAGCCTGGCCGCAGAAATGACGACGACGATGACATGAGCGGTTTCGGGTATCGCGAGAAGTTGCGCCTGGGCTCTACGGTTGTGCTGATCGACTCATGGTCCCTCATGGCGAGAGTGGAAGCGGCGCGCGTCGTCCTCGGTGGTGGATTGCCAACTCACTTCAACGAGAACCCAACGGTGGCGGAGCTTCTCGGTGGCGCCGAGAAGGAGGAAACGGCTCAGACTTATTCGCTGCATCCCCGAGACGCCAAGAAGATGAGAAGATAGAAAGCAGACAGGGCTAGGAAATGCAGGAGGAACAAGAAGAGTCACACGGCTGCACGTCATGGTTTCCTATGTCATTCCTTTTGTGCCGATAGACGAGGAATTATTAGGGGAAAACGGGTAAACGGCATCTGGCATTGGCATCGTAGTAATACACAGATGCAAAGACGAGAAGAGAGGCGGAAGATACCACAGAGCGGGCGGGCCCTCGGATAGCATCAAATTTACACCTACAACACAGCTTTACAGGACAAAGTTTCCAAGCTTTTTTTTTTCCATGATGTGATACCTCTTTTTCGTAGTAGTTGTGTTCTTTCTCGTGACGGAGGCAATCAAGGGGGTCGCAGACGTGCCTGGCAAGAAAGCCACCGATGCAGCTCTCCGCCGGAGGCGCATCCACGGGGTGACACGGCAGAGCCGATCTATCCCCTCGGTACGACGGGTCGGACGAAGCTGGCGGCACCAATCAGGTGCAAGGCACGAGGGGGAGGAAGCCGACGGTGGTTGAATTTTGTTCCAAGGGAGGTGAGTGGTGCAAACGGGAGCGTCTGGTCACTCTGTCGTGACGAATACTCATGCTTGAGGGATGCTGTCTATCTATCCACAGAACATTTCTCAAAACCTACAAAGCTCGGGTCCGTTTAGAAAGACCACCTGGGGCAGGAGTTCATCCTGCGTCATGCACAGTATTTTCCTGGATAGAATATTTCGGGGCTTTTGCTGTAGATGCAGCATGTCGGGCATGCCGTGATGTTCGGGTGCAGAGGCGAAGGGGAGCGGGGGCAGGTGTGTGAGCGTGAAAGCATGGCAAAAGAGGACAGATGCGGACGTGGACAGGCACGAGGAGCTTCATTTGCTGATATTGGGGCGCCGGGTATGTGCCTCTCTTGAAGAGGGTGATTTGGACGGCGGTGACTGGACGGAGGTAGCGGGGTTGGGTTGAAGGTGCAAACGGCCGGCCGGGGCCTGGGCTGCCGGAGGATGGGCTTGTCCCGATGGACGCGGGGCTGTTGCCACCGTTGGGCGGCGGTTAGTACTTCTTATCTCCCATGTGCAGCTGAACTGAGATTCTCATTGGGGTCGACGGCACTAAGCAGGTGTTTGGCGGATTTATTGAAATCGGGGTCACAAGCCTCGGCCAGAGACGTGCTGAGGATGTCCGGATGTCACTCTGCAGTAGGACTGTATCCCAGACATGAGTTCGGCGCCGCCCACGGGTGGCGGATAGACATGCGGTTTCAGGTGCCAGCGGATGAAATGGCATCTCACTTGGCCCGTTGCACTTGGTCCCCCGTTGATCAGGTTTGGGACTTCTACCTTGTTATGTCAGCAGCGGCGGCAGCAGCAAGGAAGCAGGACGCAAGTATCCGTATTCGTAGGCGTGTCAGTCAATTTCCAAGCCCGTTGACTTCTTGGTAGGAAAACCAAAAAAGAAGCAACCGGGAGGAAGAACCTTAGCTCCCCATTTTTATTTCCTTATTCTCTTTTTGCGCCCTGCTAGTGGCTGATCATTCTCCACGAGTCTCCTCCCGTCGTCCAGGCAAAAATGTGACGCCCGAGCTTCCGCCTCCACTCAGGTTGCCAACTGTGGGGGCCCGTCGGGTTTGATTGCTGACAGGGGATCCTTTTTGAGCGCAGGGGGAGAGGGGCGGAGGGGATTTGGAGGGGCTGGGGGAGCGAGAGAGTGAGTGAAAGAGACAGGAAAGTGGGATGATTGCGATCTGTTTGGCGGGGTGGCTGGGGGGCAGAAGCCGAGGGGGTTTCGGGAGGAGAAGACAAACAGGTGAGTTTTGGGACAGAAGAACCAACGGAGGGAGAGAATGCCAAAGTGAAGCTGCGAAGATGAAGAATTGGGTCTCGAGGTTTGAACGTTTGAGCTAAGTTGTTGCTTGACTAAGGTAGGGTCGAGGGGTGAGCAGACGGAGTGTGAAGTGAGCTGCTGTCGTTGGGTGAGCGAGGTGGAGGAGACGTAACGTGCGGGCAGGGTTGGCTGCTGCGGGAGAAGAGACGGTGAAGGGCAAGGGAAGCCACTTGCGACAGACAGCTCGAGTTTAAACGACGTGAGAGAGACTATGTGTGGTTGCAGGCCGTCCGTTTAGTGGTTCCAGAGCCGGACGGATGCGCATGCGATGCGAAGCACACTGCAGGGCGCGCGCAGAGGCAAAGGAGAGGAGGCCGTCGTCGCCTCTGCCGTCGATGAGAAGCAGTCGGATCGTTCATCTGCTGGAGCAGCACCCTCATGCAAGGCCCTTTTCACACGCCCCAAGCATGCGGCGGCAATTGGCCCGTCTCCCGGTGCCTTCCCAGCTCTTTTCGGGAAGGGAGCGAGGGACAACTCATCAAGCACCTCCACCCTCGTGGGACAAGAGCCCATCTGTTGGTCCGTCACAGTCGCACCCGTTTTTAGCTTCTTGGACTCTGGAGTGTACCTTCTGATCTCTGACCACCGGGAAGCAGAGGGCATCTCACCCGTAAGTCAGGCGAAAACGCTCTCGTCTGAGGTTTTGGGAGGACCTAGGGTTCTCTTCTCTGCTCGCCTCAGAGAGTTCCGAGTGTCTGTCTGTCAGTCGACCAGTGTTCCCAGCCAGCCCAAGAGCAGCGCACCGCACCGCAGCCCAAAGAACCAGAAACACCCGGCCCAGCCCAGCCCGCTCCCGCGCTCACCTTACCAACTTGAGAAGTTGAGATGACGACGGGTACCTCTAGCGCCCATAGATTGCCGCGACGTTGATCTTGTACCGCAATAACAAAGCCTCATAAGCTTGGACGAGCCGGGGGAGGCCCTGTAGGCCGCAAACCACAGAAACCCAAGAGTCAGACGCGAGACGCCGTCACAGACAGAGGCAGGAGAGCCCGACGAAGCGTCCATCTGTTCGTTGCGTTCCCCCTCCCTCGAGCCTGCTTCCCTGTCACTTTTGTCCCTTCTGGCCTTCAAGCTTGTGCTTGTGTGCTGTGCTGCCTTGCATCATCCCAGACTGTGAGCCTGTCCATCGCTGTCACTGTCGCCGCCTTCTACCTCGACCCCCGGTGCTGCCCGTCGTTTGTCTGTCGCCTTCTCTCTCTTCTTTCTCACCTTGTCGCTTGCGCCTCTATTATCGACCACCGTTTGCTATAACCCGACCTTCTCAAAAACAGCTCCCACACTTTTGTTTCTCGACTTGGTATTCTTGTCGATTTTTGTTTCAGCGTCTAGCGACAGCCTCGACGTCGGAGGAGCAAAAAGTGTAAAACAAGAAATAAAAAAATAAAGCGAGTCGCAAAATCAAAGGAGGCACTACCCCTGGAGCTTACCTGCCTCTCTGGTTCAGCTTCAAGATCCGCAACTGGGGCAACCACCAGCCCAGCCACCCCAGTTTGGGAACCGCCAACCTTACCTGACCTCACCTCGCACTGCACCTCGACCACTCGGCTTTTCCCTTGCGCCATCATACACTGCTGCTTTGCTGCACGCATTTTCCCTCACTTTTTCCACCACCTAATATTCCTCTTGGTTGCTTTTTTCATTGCTGTGCGTGTGGCATCAGCGGCCGCATACCGCAGTTTTTCTTCTACTTTTGCCTCTTGACATTGACCCCCCTCTTTGCGCGCAAACATCGCCGGATCGCAACGGCCCCCAACAAACGGCGTGAGCTCGCCTCGCTTCGCCTGCCTGCCCAGCTTATCGCCCAGCCCGCCCAGTTTTTTTTTCCCGCAGTAACGAACTGCTCCTGATGTCTTGAACGGCGAACCGGCACCCACAACAAACCCTTGCCCGCCTGCTTCGGCAACCCACTCACACTCACCTCTCCCTCTTCCCTCTTCCTTCTTTCCTTGATCCAAGGGGAAGGACAAGAGAAAGCAAAGAAGAGAGGTGTGTGAGCCGCAGTACGAGAGGCACTCGTCTTCCGCGCCCGCGCAACACCACCCGCTCCGTCGCCGAGGCCTCGAGCTGTTCACCACACAATGGGTGTTGACTCGAACAAGCCTCCTCCACTCCCTGCCCCGACCGAGACCGACTCCATCACCCCCACCGAATTGGCGACCGATGTGTCCAGGCCAAACGACGAATCTTCCCACTACTCTCTCCCCTCAGACGGCACTCCCGTCACCATCAAGACCCGCGGCCACAGAGCCAATCGCTCCCAGACTTCGTTGTTGATCGAGTATTTCGAGGGTGGCAAGCCTGGCGACTCCAGCTCCGTCAGCCGTAAGCCCAGCGTCCGCGTGCGCTTGACACCGTCAAAGAAGCACCGCCACGACCACATCCAGATCACCGAGACCAAGAGCAGCAGCGTCCGCAAGGCCTCGCTGACCCGTCGTGTACAACAACCCTCCACCACAGCCTCGTCCCATCTGGACGTCGAAGCCCTCGAGGGCGAGGACGGAGAGAGTATGCGATCCTACGCCTCCGCCACCGAGGAGTCCAATGTGTCCAAAAACCCCATCGACATCGAGATCGACCGCAGCGGACGTCGTCGAAGACCAGCGAGCCCGTTGATCCCAGACGTCGACGCTGCACACGAATCTACTTACCTGCCTCCAAACCTTTCCGAGATCTCGGCTATTCCTAATGACAGCTTCCTAGACGGCTCTCCCGGCTCGACCGTCTTGACAAAATCGTCCGAGACTAGACGCAGCAAGAGTTCAACTCGAGGTGGCGAGATTGCTGCCGGTGTTGCTGGTGCAATGGCTGGTGCTGCTGCTGCCGACCAAGTGAGGAGCAAAAAGAGACACAGCGGTGAGAGGCGAGTCTCTGGTGAGAAGTTGAAGGATAAAGACCGCAAGCACCGCTCAAGTAAAAGCCGAACAAGCAGCATCAGCGAAAAGCAATCCGAGGCTGGAACGCGATCGCCTAGGCGACGCTCTAGCCGCAATCACGTTGACTCGCTCGTGTCTGGGGCAGATTCCAGCGTTTTATCATCCAGCATTTCTCCCAGCCATCGCTCGTATGATCAGAGCTCTGTCCGCTCTGGAGCTTCCAAGTCTTCCATCAACAACCCCAAATTGTTGGAAACCGTCGAGGA